ACAGCCGTACCGTTTTCACTTTCCTTCTCGTACCCAGGATCTCCCACGTGCCTGGGATTCCTTGTTTTGAGCAAATTCGAATGCCTCCAGCCTCCTGGGCTGTGTGACTGAGGAAGGGGCTCCATCTGTGCTGCCTTCCCAGTGTGGCACCACCTGCAGTCAGTGCCAGGACCTGCCAGGGTGGGAGCAATGACTCTTGCGGGTCCCCAGCACCCTGCAGACCCCACTGAACAAGGCGTGCTGGCCCCAGCCTCTGCCAGCTTTGGGGGAGCCCCTTCTGCCATGGCAAGAGTCAGCACTAGCGCGGTCTGGAGGAACCATGCTCAGGACAGGCAGGCTTTGCAGGTATGGTGGAGCGTGGCATAGCTGTGCAAGATGAGACCACGTCCCATCAGGGAAAAGCCCTCGCTGTTCAGCCCAGCGCTGGTGAGCTCGGCTACAGCTGGTGGTGGGTGAGAGGCAAACATGGAGCAAGGTGCCCAGAAGATCTTCAGCCCTTCGTCACAGCTGCTCTGTGTGCTGGGGGGCTGGGCCCGTGCCTCCAGCTTTGCTGCTCAGCTTTCGTTTTCCTTTGGTGCCTCCAGATCTCCTTCTGTCTGGATGAAGAGATGAGGTTTTGTTCTACTTCTCCAACCAGAAATGACATCTGAGAGAGAAAAGCCACAGTGATGGGGAAGAGGAACTAAAGAAACTTGAGTCTCGCAGGGATGTGATGGTGCTCTGGGATCCAGTGGGTAACCCGAAAGTGTCCCCAATGCTGACATCAGCAGAGGCCCATGGCCATGGAGCAGCAGTTTGTGGAGGATCTGTGTGTGCCAGGGCCATCTTCCAGCCCTGCTCTGGGTCTGCAGGGTTGCAGATGAGGCCATCTCAGCACAGCAGGCACTGGACATCACCATCGTGGTGCTGGATGTCACTGTCTGGTGCCAAGGACCTTGCTCCAGCCCTGCCAAAAGGGAATCCCAACCCAGGTGCCAGAACACCTCGGCCTGGCTCGTACCTCGATCTCATGGAGGAAACCCTCCCTGGTGCTTGTCCTGGAAGCTGGTTGGGCTCCACCGCATGGAACATTGAGCCACCACCCCCCTCCAGCTGCTCCCTTCCAACCCCAAGAGTTCCAGACAGGGCTGGGATCCCTGCTTCCTCCTCTCCCTCGCTGAGGGCCACGTAAGTTTTTTACATTGCTGAGGTGCTGTCTCTTGTGGCTGAGCTGTGCCTCACTTGTACGTTGTGTGTGAAGTTAGTTATGCTGGTTTGGGCTATTATTTTGTACTTGTATTGAATGTGGACAAGTTGCATTGAATAAAAATATTATTTTTCTAAGTCTTTGCATTTCTTCAATGGGAAAGGAATTGACAGCGCCACTGTCCTCTTCACTGAGGGTGCAGATGAAGCACCTGAGCCCTGGCTGGGGCTCAGGTTTATAATTACAGGTGCTGCTGCAGTGGAAAGCCAAGGCTGTGACTTGCCATGAGGAGAAGTCCTGTGCCTACTGCTCTACCTGCTTTTAGCACCGTGTTTTGCTGTCCTGGCTCTTCTCTGAGCTGCATCTCCATCTGGTTTGGTCAATGCTGAGATAGTCACTGCCCGAGTCATGCCGCTCCCTGCCTGCCATCTCCACTTCTCTTTACCTTCTCTGTGGTTTTCCAGGAAAGACCTGAGCTCTCTGAGATGCTGCTGGAGCAGGAGCAGGGCTCAAGGCAGGATGGATGGATGGATCCTGTGGGTCAACAACCTGACCTGCTTAACCTCTTCATTAATGTCTGGATGATGAGGCAGAGCACACCCCTTGTGTACCACGTTCATTGATGACATCGAATTGGCAGGAGTGGGTGACACACCCAAGGGTCCTTGCTGCTGTCTGGAGGGACCTTTGACTAGCTGGAGAAGTGGCAAGTCCTGCACATGGGGACCACCCAGATGGAAAGTAGTTCAGCAGAAAAGGACATGGGGATGTCCTGGTGGGCACCAGGTTTAACATGAGCCGGAAACATGTCCTTAGGGCACAGAAAGGTGAGTGCTGTCCTGTGAGTGCATTAGGAGGAGTGTCTCCAGCAGGCCGAGGGAGGTGATCCTTCCCCTCAGCACTGCTGAGGTTGCCCCTGGAACGTGGGTCCAGTTCTGGGCTCCCCAGTGCAAGAGAGTCGTGGATGTATTAAAGAGTCCAGTAAAGGACTACAAAGATGATGGACTGGAGCATGTGTTGTATGAGGAAAGGCTGAGAGAGCTGGGACTGTTCAGCACAGAGAAGAGACAGCTCAGAGGCTCTCGGTGCTCTTGGAGATATTCAAAACTGGACAAGGTCCTGTGCAGCCTGCTCTAGCTGACCCTGCTAGAGCCGAGGTTGGGGTAGACAATGTCCAGAGGTCCCAGACCATCTCCACAACTCGGCATAGCATGCCCATGCTGGGCTGCCCACGCATAAGCATATCTTGACACAACCTTGCACAAGAACTTTTCTATTGTTTGCGTGGAGTCCTTGTAGTCAGTAGTTTCTTTCTAAATATGAACATTAAAAATTGGGTCCCTCTGGAGAAGCGTTCTTCTACAGCCACTGGGTAAGGCACCACACAATGCATTTACGCTTGTTGCTGTATTATGGAGCATTTGCTTTTTAGGTACAGGTAGTGCCCTAATTTTCTGGACTTAATGCTTGATAAATGCATGAAACTAAAAGTACAGCGGTGGTGGCCTCACGTTGCAGGAAATTAGCTCGAGGGAAAGACAGATTTTGCTGAATGGGGGCACTGTTCCAGCTGTGAGTAGAGGGACGTCAATCTGTGATATTTGCATTTCCAGGGAGGAAACCTCAGCCAGCTGCAGTGGCTGGATGGGGTGGCAGCTCTACTTGTCTCTGGGAGCTTCCCTGCACAACCCTCCATCCCACCTGGACAACACCAGGTGGAAGTGCTTCTGCTTTTGTCCTCTTCCCTGCTGTTGTAGCAAGCCAGGTCCCTCAGGATAACGCACACACAAAAGCACTGTGCAGTGCCTGCCTCTGGCTGCTGCGTTCACCCCCTCCCTGTCACAGCCATCACGCTGCACTTCCAGCAGGGAAACTGAGGCACGACGCGCTGCTACCGCTCGGGAGGCACCTCCCGACCCTGCTGTCTCCATGGGGCTGCGTGCCTGGGAGTCTCCCACAGCTTTTGGCGCACTGCCGGGCTGGGTCATGCTCAAGCTTCCTCACACGTGCCAGCACTTCTGCACCACTCAATGTGGCAGCAGCAGCGTCCCCCCACTTTGGAGGGGTG